CTCAAGCCACAGCTCACTGTCCCTGAAGTCAGGCCATGGTCTGCTGTTTAAATGTGCACTGTGGGCCTCTTCAATGCACAGATTCTGGGTATGAGAGGCCATTGCTACTATTCTCTGCGTAAATACAGTCTTGGGGGATTGAAATATGTCTATTATTGCTCAAACCCAGTATGACTTGGGAGACTGTTCTTATTGGTTATATCACGTATCTCCAATGAAGACATTCTCAATCTGCAAATGAGTGATTTCTCTACCAAACTGTGGATATAACAGACCATCGAGATCAATGTGTCTGAACCCATTTCCTTTGCCACTTATTATTATTATTAAGAACTTATTACATTATTATGAACACTTGCAACACCCTCATTAAGTGATTCTTAAGTGAATCCCCAACAATTCTATAACAGTCTCTTTGCATTCAATTTCCTCTGAGATAAGAGATGGATGGACGCATAGATGGATGAACAGATTAGAGATATGAAGATACCATAGATTAATGTTCAGGTGGACAGACAGATAGACAGATGAAATCAAAAGAGGTGGCTCTGTGGGTACTAAGCACTTTCTGTAACTTCAGAGTTCTCCATGCAGAACCATTCGTAATTTATAGGTAGCTGGCACAGTGTCCTAAAAAGTCCGCCTCCGAAGAGTCAACTATATAAATGAGACAAAAGCCACACAGCAGGAACTGGCAGGACATCTATTCAACTGCCTCCTAATCAGTCCCCAGTAATCTTAGTAAAACATAACACACATGTTTACCATTGTGCAACTTTACACCCTGGGAGCATAATACTGGAGTTGCTGTCCCAATGGTCTGTATGCATAGCATTAGTCTCATCCAATACATCTCTATCAGTTGAACATACTTTCAGTCACTTTACCTAATAAACTTTCTGTGCCACTTCAAACTTACAAACACACAGGATAGAAATACTTGTAACATTCCTTCCCCTACTTTATCACCAACAATTTTAGCAAACCACAGAGATACATCTTCACCTGGTTGGTAGATTTGACTGTGTATTACTCTCATTATTAAAGTCATCTTGCCACCATATTGCTGCAATGTTACTGCAACTTCCTTTTGCAGATACTGAAGGAATATAATCTTTCCTTTTTCTTGATAATTTTTCATTTCTTGGATAATAGAAAGGAAATAGAAGATAAGGGGGGAGGGCCGGCCAAATAGCTCAGTGGATTAAAGCACCTGCAAGCAGGTGCAGGGGCCGGAGGTTCCATCCCCAGGCCTGCTATGCTGGCTCCACCCCCAGGCGTGCTGAGATGGCAATTGAGACTGGGCATGGTGGTGCATGCCTGTAATCCCAGCTCTCGGGAGACTGAAACAGGAGAATCACTAGGAGCCCAAGCTAGTAGTGAGACCCTGAACCCCCTGTGGACTCTTCCCTAAAATACAGAAACAAGAAAAAAGATAAAGGAGGGATATGAGAGAGAGAGAGAGAGAGAGAGAGAGAGAGAGAGAGAGAGAGAGAGAGAAGATAAAAGATGCAAAATTTGGAACAAATCCTTTTTACACAGAGTGGTCACTGCCCCTTTCTTGTGCCTATGTCAGATAGCATAAATTGCTCTTTTCTTCTAAATTTGGGTAAGATTTAGGAACTTATCTTATTTTAGCACTGTATTCCCACCACTTCTTCAGCAGTGATTGGTAAGTTAAAACTTACTTGCTACATGCTAATGCCAGTGATAGTATGAGAAAAAAAGTCTTCTGTCCCCAAATGTCTGAATTGGGGAAATTTACCATGACTGGGGGGGGGGAGTTGTTTGTTTTTTGTTTTGTTTGTTTTTTATGTATTTGGTACAGGGTCTTACTCAGCAGCTCAGACTCAGTGATCCTCCTGACAATATTTGATATATGGTATATTATAGCATGACCAGGCTCCCCAGTGCTGGGATTACAGGTGTGCACCACTATGCCTGGTCTCAGTGGCCAGCTCAGCATGCCCTAGGGGCAGGGCCAGCACAGGCATGTGATGCTGAGGATCAAACCCTGGTCCCTGTATTTGCCTAAGCAGGCATTCAGTCCACTGAGCTATCTCACCAGCCCTATGAATAGAGTTCTCAATAAACTGGTTTTTCACTTTTAAAAAACCTACTTGCAACCTTTGTTTTAAAATATTTTATATCACTGTTTTAGTTACTTTCTCTTCAGTAGGAAAAATGATACCTCCAACTTAAAAGAGGAGAGGTTGACTTTGGCTTAAGTTTTTAGTCTGGTCAGGCTGGCTGGAAGGCAGGAAGTAGCACAGTAGAGGAGTACAAGTCCCATCTATGAGTGCATGACACCCTTGGGGGACATCTAGACATAAACCATAACAATTGCTCTCCTCTAGGTCTAAGTCAATATAAATGTCATTCAATATTTATACAGTACATCCATTTGTCTGGCTTCACAATTCTGCATTCTAGTGATCCCTGAAACACTATAAAGCAACAAAAATCTTTTATATATGTTAATCAATTTGTGCATCAGTTAATTTCAGTTGTCAGTTGGATTGGGTTAGGATGCTCCTGGAGAGGGAGTCAGGTTACAGGGGTACAATACTCATCAGTGGAACTGTACTCCAATGTTCATAGCTCAGTATGCTGTTAGGATGTGAACCTCAGTTGGAAGTAGGTCCCTGGGCATGTGCTGGAGGGTGTGTCTCTAGCTAGTGTTCTTCCCCTGTCTTCTGTTACTGCACTATGGAGTGCTCAGCTTTGTTTCACCAAGACCTTTCTCCATGACATTTCTGCCTTAGACCAAAACCTCTAAAGTCATGAGGCAAATAAGCCACTCTCTCTTTTGAGTTGTATATGCCAGTCATTTGGTCCCCAGGTTAAAAAGCTGATACAGCACTGCTATCACAAAATGCCTAAAGTTGAGTGATCTATAAAAGATCTTTCTCTTGGTTCTGGAGTCTGGGAAGTTCAAGATTCAGAAGCCAGTAGGTTTAAGTCTGATGGAGTCTACTCTGCTTCCAAGATAGCACCTTGAATAGTACAGAAGGGACAAAGCCCTCCCATGGCAGAAGGGACAGAATGAGGAACTCACTCCATCAACCCTTTGTAAGGCACTAATCCACTCATAAGAGCAGAGCCCCATTTCTTAATACTGTTGCAAGGGGAGTTGAGTCTCCACATGAATTCGGGAACAGACATAAATTTTCAAGCCACAGCAACATCAAAAGAAAAATTGTATTTCACATTATCTAAGAAGAATGTTCTTTGTTCTATCCATGTTTAATCCTCTAAAATGTACAATGCAAGCGTAAGTAGTGAGGCTCAGGAGTGCTAGTACAGTGACGTGCTAGAAGTTCAGAATCCTCAGATACCCGCCCACTGGCAACCATCGTATGTCACAGAACAGAAGCTATGTCCCTTTTTTTCATTTACTAAGATGGCTAAGATAATGAGAAGCGCTGTCATGGAAACTCAGGGCCCCAGTCCCCCACACAAGCCATGGCAGAGCCTCCCTAACATCACTCTACCAGAGAAGGGTTAAATTCAGGAATAAGTGTAGGGTGCCACAATGAGGCCTAATCACATGGCCTCTACCTGAACCACCAGCCTTCCACCAAGAAATCCTTGTTTTTGTGAAAGTTCAGGCCAACCTAGTATAGAGAAAGACACTCTGTCCTAGTCACTTTCTTGTTGCTGGGACAAATATCTGACTCCACAACTTCAGCAAGGAGAGGTTCACTTTAGCTCACAGTTATAGCCCACTGTCAGCTGGCTCCAAAACAGACCAAGATGGTGGAAGGGCCTAGCTGCTCCCACCATGGCTGCCAGGAAGGAGAAGATGCAAGGCGGGAGATACTCTCTCTGGGCCACATGCTGAAGGATTCCCCTCCCCTACCACGCCCCACCTTCACCAGCACACTTAGCTCTGAACTTATCCACAGATTGACTCACAGATGAGTACGGTGCCCCACCACCCAGCCACCTTCCCAAAGCCCGCATCTGAACACGAGAGGCCTTTCAAGGACATCCTAGATCTAACCCCCAATGCCCCAAAATCCCTATGAATATGTCCCATGGACAAATTCTTTTTACCTAAGTTTTAAGTATATTATTAATAAAAAAAAATAGAATAAAAATAAAGACACATTGTCAGATAAGTTTCTTTCTAGCCCCAGCTCTTTATCTTTCTAAAATGTAAAAACTGAGGTAAAATCTACAACACTTGCACAGAATTAAACTTAAGTTTCCAGGTAGTTGGCAAAATTAATCGTGAAAGTTTATATGAATTAGCTATTTGTTATGTATAAGATGGTTTTTAAAACAATTGCATAAATAAAATTTATTCTTATCTAGGTATAGTTGCTAAAGAAAAAAAATGTTGGGGCTGGGGAGATGGCTCAGTGGAATAAGCACTTCCCTGGCAAGTGCAAGGGCCTGAGTTCAATCCCCAGTTCCGCAAAAAAAATAAATAAATAAATAAATAAAAGAAAAAAATGTTATGCCCTGAAATGTTACAGTGGCCTAGATTTGTTTAAACTATGCTAATGGGTCTGTAGGTAAAGTTGATAACTTTGTATCTCAAGTCCAATCATCATAAAGATCGTTTCCTTTTATCATTCCTATTCAAAAACAAATAATGTTTTTATTTTTAAAAAAACAGCTCAAATTAGAACTAATGCAGTTATCACAATCAAAACTACTGAAATATAATAATATATAAACTAACAAAAGTGACTAGTTAATGTGGTGTGTGTGTGTGTGTGTGTGTGTGTGTGTGTGTGTCAGAGAGCGAAAGAGAAACAGACAGGAGAAAAAGATGAAAGAAGGGAATGGAAGGAAGGGAAATGGAGAAGATGGACAAGAGACAGAAATAAAGGCAGAGCAAAATAAGAATAAATATGGTGAGGTTTCCACAAAGACAGGAGCTTAATAGTATATGAAACAGTCACAAAATCCCTGCTGATTTATGAGTCAGCCATCTCTGCTTCTGCCAGGAATGTGTGCAACCCCCTGAGTTTGTTCACATCGCAGTACCTGGGTTAGCACTCTGACTTCTTCAGTTCCCCCCTTTTGGTGTCTTCCTTCTACCTCTGGGAGAAAAGGGAAAGAGAATTAATCCCATGTTTTTAAAAATAACTCACATCTATAGCACACAAAGCTTTTCCTAAATTACGCTTCTTCTGAAAGATATATTTTTCAGTATTTTATTATGCAGCAGCACTGTCTAAGAGTTTAAAAAGCAGAAAGGAAACTTTGCTAACATGACAGCAATGTGAGATGAACATTTGCCAACATACACATGTGGCTGCTTTCTTTTCAGCTACTCTGAAATAAAAGTCTAGGTCCTCTACACTAAATGTTTATACAACAATAAGCCACTACTCCTGATACTGCTCACACTGAGCAGTGATTCACTGTGATTAACTTCGATATGCCTTGGAGCTGAAAGAGCTGATCCCTTCTGGACTCCGTACCAATGGCCAACAAATGATGGTCCAGGCCCAAGTCCAACATGCTACCTGTTCTACAAATAAAGTTTTATTAGAACACAACCAAAACCATCCACTTATATATTATCTATGTCTCCATCACAGCAGCCTTGAGAAGGTACATTTTGCAGTCTGATTCACAAAGTCATACTTTTAAAACATTCATTATCTCATACTTTGTACAAAAAAAGATATATATTGACTCCTTCCCTATATAACAAATATGTTGAAATGTCTCTTGTTCACTATATATGCTCTCCTCTGCACACATTTATTCAGAAAATACTAAGTGCCCACCATCAGCCACAGACAGCGGGCCTTTCACAGACCTATAACATACACGCACTCAAACCAGTCCCTTTAGCCTCCCTATCTGAAGAAATGTTCTCACTTCAAAGTTTATTTTTCAATGTTTTTCATCCATTAATGCTGACCTCCTGATCATCTCTCCTCTGAATCTTAAACTAAGCATATAGCTGAGAGTTTCCTAACTCTTTTCTGGGTTCAGCAGCTCATGCCTTGGAGACAGAGACGTGGCCACGCTGTCTCAGCACCTGACCCTCCACCTTGCCTTCTCCCGCCCACCCTGAGAAGTCTCCCTGGGCACAGATGGAAAAGATCTGCTGCAGTCCATTCCTTTCTGTCAATAAAACAAATACACTACTGCGCAATGAGAATCTAGCCACATTTTTAAAGGTCTTTTTAGAATAAAGTTGCGTAGTTTCCCAAAGTAGCTCATGTTCACGTTTGCCAATTTCTCTAATGAGAAACCCCTCTCCTTTGTCTACTTTCACACAAGCTCATTTATTTCTAACTATCTTCAGGGAGCTGACTAGTACCTTCTAGCATTCTCAAAGTAGAATAACGAACACTTCTGTGTTTACCATGGATAGAGGGGTTAAGCCTTTTGGCTTTTATGAACAGCATTGTAGCTAATCCAAAGACCTCCATAAAGGACAACTATTTTACTGGGAAATTCTGCTCACCCAAACTATCCCACACTAGAATTTGTTCAATAAGTACACTGATGCTACTTTAATGATAATAAATTGGAAATGAATTTGAAGAAAGTTATTTTATAAGAACACAGGATAGTTGGGGGATGGGGGTTTCTGCAACTGTTACTCATTGGTCAGTCCCCCAAAAGTACACCTACTGCAGAATTCTCCCCTAGAGACACAGAAAGTTAGGGTACTTTAGCTTCTTAGCTGGGTTGGATCACTGTCCTCAACTGATTTTGCTAGAGGCCACTTCTCATGTGTTCTGAACAAAGTCACAGAATCCACCCACTTATTACCCAAGCATGATGGATAGCTGAAAGAAAACAAATAATCAAGTTAAACCTCATATTTCCAGAAAATAAACACAACCTCTGCCTTACCCATGCTGGGTCATGCTTAGTACCAAAAATGGAGCCCAGTTTTTCATTTTGTCCAACTTAAATTTGAAGAAAAAGAAATTAAGATGAAGAGTCCAATGTGTTGCCCACGTTTAAAGAGCCAACCTGAGAGTTCAAGAAACAGTAAGAGGCCGGGGAGATGGCTCAGTGGAATAAGTGCTTCCCTGGCAAGCGCAAGGGCCTGAGTTCAATCCCCGGTTCTGCAAAAAAAAAAAAAAAAAAAAAAAAAGAAACAGTAAGATAATTATCACAACTCAGATCCAGATACTCTTCTTTCTGCGATAGCCACCAAAAGATTAAAAGCTAGGCCAAACCCTGGCCTGAAAAAGAATGATTGTGAGTGAGTGACTATGGCTCTTTGCAACCCACCAGAATCACAGAAATATTCCAAATTTGATTTTAAGTTCATGAAAAGTAAAATACTTTTAAAGTAGTGCAATCCAACAAAGTAAGCCCAGGAGCAACGGAACTGGAGTCTCCCCGGTAAATAGTGTTCAGCTTGGAAATAATGACGCCAAGCCACTGGGCCGCACCGCAGGTTTTCTACTCCAAATGGCAAGCCCTTTTAAAGCTACGCATCTCCCTCAATCCATTCATCCATCAGCAATAAAACTGCTCTGACGGAATTGATTTAATACTTGGGAGAGTCCTGGATTTGATGGATGCATGACAGCTGCTTATTTTGGCCTCTTTTGCAAAGCTGTAGCTAGTATTGTTTGGAAAGCTGTAGATGAAAATTCTATTTCTTCCCTTTGTTTCATTTATCAGGGCATATGCAGGGGAACTGTTACAGAGAGCAGAAAATAAATGGCTCTTGGAGCCCTTTGAGCTCGGAGAGCAGGTCTGGTGTTGGCAATGGTCATGTCAGCGAACCAGGTGCTTAAAGCGTAATCTCTTTGCAGGCCCACCGTATCCCCTGCCAGCACCAAGGTCATTATCTATGGACTCTTCTTAGCTTTCTTGGATGCCTTCCAAGCCATGACATGCTTTGTTTCTTCCAGCTACCAAGCCAAAAATGTTGAACAATCCTCCAGACAGCAGGGAAGCTCATGAGACCCCTCATGTTGTCCAAGGCCCGGCCTCCAGCCCTAAATTCGCTCTTCCCAACCTGCTCTCTCCCCAACCACTTCCTTGAAATTTCTTCCAATCATAAATGTCTGGGTGTTTTTGTTTTTGCTGTTGTTTTGCATTTCTTTGCACCAATTCAAGAACTATTCTTTATTGGCTGTGCATCCACCACTAGGGCTTGAAAGGACTGCATAGACTAAGTGGCAGGAAGTAAAGATGGGTGTTGTGGAACTTCACACTCAAGGTAGGGAGGTAGCAGCTTGGTGACTGACCACGCCAACAGTATGGCAAGCCAGCGCTGTGAGGATGCACCGTCTGCCCTTTTAGTTTTCCCTGGCAAAGGGCACACAGTCACCCTTCCTGTAGTGCTCTGCCATGAATGCTCACTTATAAATCTTACTTTTTTAAAGTTCTTTTTTATGTATTTAGTACAGGGTCTACAGGGTCTCACTACACAGATCGGGCTCATAGTGATCCTCCTGTTTTCAGCCTCCCACGTGCTGGGACTACAGGTGGGTGCCACCACACCCAGTCTCAGTCACTGTCTCAACATGCTCCAGGGGCAGGCCTGGCACAGCAGGCCCGGGATCAAAACCCTGGCCCCTGGCCACTGCATCTGTCAAAGCAGGCGCTTTAATCTACTAAGCTATCTGGCTGGCCCTGTAAATTTATATTATGTCTTTATTTGGTTCTACCAATTTTAGAAAAATATCTCAGTAATAAACAGTAGTATACCAAATCAGGGAGACATAAAACACTATATATGACTTTTAAGCAACTGCTTCAGATTTTTGAGAAAAGTTATTTATTCTGCTTCACTTCACACCCTTCTTTCCAAACTCCAGGGAGCTCAGAGGTCACTTTTGGTGGTGGCCAAGTCTTTTTTTGCCTGAACTATTCCACCAGAAGTCTCTGACAATCAGTTCTCCACCACAACTCTGGCTGACATGACAGAGTGGTGAGCAGTGCCATAGATGACACAGGTTCCAAAAGACAAAGTGAGACAGAGACAGGGAAGGTGGCATGAGGGAACGTGCAAGACCAGTAGAAGGCAACTGTCATGTGGGGTGGGGCGCCAAGGTCCCTGGCCTCATGATGAGGGCACGGAGATAAGTCTGAAGGTATCCAACCAGATGCAGGGAAGCTGTGAGGGACGGGATTAAAGGTAGTAGATACGATGAAGTGTTCTGAGGGCCCTGCAGCCTCTGTTTGCATGCTGAAGGGTGATAGAAGGAGGTTCTGAACCAGAAAGTTGTCAGTTAGAGTTGCAACTGTAAAAGAACATGTGTTAAGCTTCTCATTTCTGTAACAAAAACACTGGAGATGATCATCTTAAAAAGAGGGTAGGTTTAGCCTGGCTTGTGGGTTTGAAGGGCACAACTGATTGGCCCCATTTCTTCGGGGCCATGAGGAAGCAACACATCCTGGCAGCAGGCTGTAGGGGAGCAAGTTGCCACCCCCACTGCAGTCAGGAAGGCAGAGGCTGGACTCCAGAGTCCCTCTGAGGGCACGCCCCCCAGGGACCTAAGAGTTCCCACAGGACCCCACCTCCTAAAGGTTCTACTGCCGGCCTCCTAGCAGCCCTAACCTAGGGACCACATGGGCCTCTGGGGGAGATCCAGAGGGTCTCGATCCAGGGCATAGCAGGGCGCTACCAGGTAAAAGCTGTGGCCTTTAATGAGGAGCCCATCGGATGCCAGCCAAGGGCAGGAAGTGCAGGAGCACGGAGCAATAGAAGACAAAGTCTCTTGCTGATCCTCGCTCTGGCCAGATCCAAGAGACGGGGAGAAGCCCCAACAACACATTCCTGACAAGATGGCGCTGGGCGCACAAAGCGAGGGTGCAAGCAGGACATCCAGCATGGCCAGCACGAGCCCACCACTGTCTGTAGAGCCAGGCACAGGAGGAGAGAAGCCCACAGACGACCTGCTGTGGGCCACCAAGTCCAATCTAGAGTGTTCAACTTGCTTCCAAGAAGAGCAAGTGGGAGGGAGGCTCATAATCCATGCTTTTATATTCTTTCTTTTCACTCTGGCCCAAGTCCTAGGGCCCACTGAGCTCTCAGGTGGGAGTCGTCTCTGCATTTATCCAAGCCTCAAAGGCATGTCTCCTCTCTTACACCTGCACTTGGT